AGCCGGGAGGCTCGCTGCCCTCTTGCTCTTTCGGGCCCTTGCCACGGGAGAGGGCAGGGAGGCACAGGCAGGAGGGGCGCCTGGCTGCTGGCCGGGCTCAACCCTGGGCTGCAGCAAAGGGCTCGGCAAGGCTGGCGTGGGTGAGAAAGGCAGTGCAAGGCCAAGCCGGGCTGCCCGTGGGCGCAGGTGTTTGAGTCACCAGTCCATGAGGGATTGAAAAGATCCATAGACATGGCACATACATACCTTGTGTAGTTGTGGATTTGGCAGTTCTGGGTGACATGTTGGACTGAATGACCCTTAAGTTCTTTTCTAACCTAGAGAAGTCTATGTTGTTCTTGTAAGTTTTGTGGAAAGTGTGTTCAATAGTTTGAAATTGCAAGTACCTTGTACTGGAAGGCATTTCTTGTGTGTCGTATGTGCCATTAGGGTGCTCCAGAGTGTCTGGTCATACAGTATCTGTTGAGCCATGAATTTGTTTCTACAATTACACAGTGTTTGGGATTGGAATGTGGACAAATGATAGGATGCCATGACATTATTCAGGTGTTATTGGAGCATGGAAAATAAGCTATAATTTTTGTGTTAATACTGTTAATTTTTAATATTAAGGAGAGTTATAGATCATGCGAGAGGAGATGTGCAACTATAGAACAAGAAATAACAATTTGGAACTATACCACTGTGACTCAAGAAGTTAGCAGAGCACTGGGCTTCAGGGGCTCACTTGATTACTTATGCCTGGCATATTGGACATACTGGTTTTTTCCAGTTATTAACTGCTCAATTGTAGAAAATGCATCTGCTATGTTTGCCAGTGTAGATGCAACTAAAAGGCATTGTAAAAAGTCTTTGCACTTCAATTTATTTGTTCCCAGACTGTCTGTAGATAAGTAGTAGTCTACAAGGTAGTTTTGAGTGATCTATAACTAGTCTTCAGAGCAATGCTGCACATTAAATCATGTAGTATTTTATTTCAAAGGATTAAATGTTAAAGGCTTTTGAGAGTGATAATTAGTGCCTAGTACTGCTGCTTGAGTGGAGCAAGAGGAAAGAGGAACTAATTGGAGGAGACCAGGGAGGTTCTAACAGTCCCCTGTGATCCCCAGGAACAGGTTACAGTTCCTGTACCCTGAAGCAAATCAATTAATTTGTTAAATCATTTGGTGTTTCTGGCGCAACAGGATTTCCTGGCCAAGCTACTTCTTTATAAAGCTCTGCCTCGTTCTGTTTTTTCACTGCTTGCTAAGTGTACTTATCTGTACAGAGGCACATAGGCATGTAATTCATTCTCCTGGGAAGATCCATTTTCCCCTTACTGCCAGACTCATTTTCCATCCATTTTGCTTTCTAAAAGCTACTCTTTTCTCTCTCCTTCTTCAGTTACCTCACTAACATGGCTACCATTTCCTCTTTTTTTTGCCTTTTTCTTTTTTTTTTTCCATTAGGTGAGACAAGTGTTTGGGCAGTGGGCTTTAACGGCATCATCCAGGCATGGTTACAAAACACAGTGATGAGGGAGAGAATTAATCACTGCACTAAAATGATTAATGTTTTGTTTTGATCATTTTGCATCCCACCATTGCATTTCAACTAACAAGAGTTTTCTGTCTTTGACCTACGTGCTTCAATTGTTCATTAAGATTTTGCCACCCACTGTCATAATCACTAACAACTGCTTGGGTTTGAAGGTAATTGTGTTTATTTTCTGGTTCATGCTTCAGGAAAAATTAAAACTTGATGCTGAGAGGGAAAAACTAGAGAGGCTTCAGGAGCTTTACTCCGAGCAGAAGACGCAGCTTGATAATTGCCCTGAGTCCATGAGGGAACAATTACAGCAGCAGCTGAAGAGGGTCAGTAGCAAGTTTCAAGATCACACTAAATTTTTTATTGTTGAAGTTTTAATTTTTTTTTTTAAGTGTAACCTATTCTGTTTTACTTATCCAGTGTCTGAACATATTTGTAACTTATAATTGTTAATAGTCATGAGGGTGATTTTTTTTTTTTGTGGAATGCTTGTAATAGTTAATGTGCAGGGTGGCAAGCTAGTAGAGTGCAAATGGGTGGATTAGAAATCATTCTGTGTTGAATTGGGCTACTTTCCTTTCATTAGCACCTTAGGCCTGCTGGGTGGTGTGGAAGCTGTTGTCATGTTTAGATAGACAGTGCAGTGTTGCTCTTTGTCTGTGTGAGCAAAGACAGGAGTTGAACTTTGGTCAGCGGGATCAGCCATTTTAGCAGCATTTTCATGTCACTGTTGTTTGATCCTGTTGTGTAGTCCTTCTTTGCAATGCTGTAAATGGCTGTCTCAGTTGAAGCCATGGATAACTTCTTTTTTTTTTTTTTTTTTTCCTCCTCCCAGTACATAACTTAGCTGTTAGCCTGAACTGTGCTTTGAAAAATTAATTTTTAAGATTATACCTCTTATTTTAATAGCTTTATCTGTTCCTACATTTTCAACAGTTGTACATTGGTATAATAACCTTTGCATAAAGTCTAATTGCAACTTGATTTTATTTTGTATTATTTGTAACTGAAAGACCTACAATATTGTCTGTGAACGTACAGTTATTTTCTGTTGAAAGATTTTAGTATTTATTAATGTTAAGTGAACTCTACAGTACATATAGCTAGCTTTAGTTGGTGGGGAAATAATTTTCCAAACTTTTGCAAGCTCAAGAGGCTGTCTGAAAGACAAACTAGATTTTTTTGTTTGTTTGTTTGTTTTTGTTCTGGCTTGAGTGTTTATATTGGGACTAAGGTCTGTAGTAGCAGTGACCAAAAAAGCGCTTTTTTGCTTTATAGGAAATAATTCTTTAGATTTTGGGTTATTTGTAGAATTCTATTTTGTTTTGTCAAGAAGCAAAAAGTTTAAAAGTCCAGCTTAGGAAATAACAATCTTAAATTCTTAAGTAGTAATTGAGAATTTTGCTGGTTTTGGGACACTTAAGGATTTTTGTAAGTCACCTTAAAAAAAAAAAAGCAGTATGACATAATATCTCATACATATTAGATGGAAAGGCAAGCACTTCCTCTGCAGTCACATGCTTGAAAGTATTAACTCATGAGAAGTTGCAGTCTTGCTGCTGTGAGATGGTAGTAAATCCTTTTTCACTATTGACCACCAAGAGGCTTCTAGAAATCTGTTTGGTTAATTTTTAGAATTTTTTTTGTTCCTTCCAAGTTGGCTTAATAATGATTTTGGATTTGAAAGTGGGACAAAACTTGAAACGTAGGGGTGCAGTTAAATGTCCAATTAGTCCTATTGCATGTTATTCCAGGACAATTGCAGTGAAAGTTAGCTGTGGCTGCTGTGGTCAAAGCAGTTGTCGTCACTCAACTAGTGCACAGTAGCTCTCAAATGGATATTAAGCATGAGAGCAGTTATGAAATTACTGTAAGTATCATACCCAAAATAGAGAAAATACTGTCTTTCCCCAAGATAAGCCCGGTACAGGGTTAAATACCTGAGTCTGCAGCAGGTTATGTTCTGTTACTTCCCGGCGAACGCAGGTGATGAATTCCCTTATTGCTTCATCTCTGGGACTTCAGTAACTTCCTAATTTGTGCCCAGGGGAGCGGGCAGCTGATTTCACTGTAGGAGCTGCCTGCAGGGGGGGGGATGGAGTTTGGGCAGGGGTTGGCAGTGGGCAGCTGGCACACCCTGTGTGCTTCCCTGTGTCCGGAACCAAGATACGCTCTCCCTCTTGGGCAGGAAGGATGCTTCATCAGAGACTGGTGAAACCACAACCTGGGCTTGTGGAAGGCACTGAGGGAAAGCATTGACCTTCCTGATGGCTTATTAGAAGTTAATTAGCATGCTTCATCCTTCACTGTTAGTATGAAAGCACCGAAGCTCGTTTGTTCTCCTGTGCCTGGCTTTGTAGAGATACGTGTAAATGGAGGAGGAGAGTAGATGCCTGGATTCCTGCAGAGATCTGAAAAGACACTGTCCTTTGCTAGGAAATACCTTACTCTTCAGATTAAATTCTCCCAATTTTTACTGATGATGTGGGCCCATGGAGCTACCACCACATCCTGAAGTAAGGGCTGGGTTCTCTCCCGTTAAATTTTTCCAGTGCCATTACTGAAGTAATAGAGATGCAGGATAAATTTACAGTTTGGAAATCCAATATGGAAACATTGCATCTGTTGTTTGTTAATAGATTGTAAGTTACAATATTTTGATGTCAATTGTTTTAATAAAAGGGAAGGAGTATGCTTGCTACTACTACTTACCCTTTGGATGTTTTTGAATTTGAAAATGGACTTGGTTTCAGATTAGGTATGTTTATTTTTCTCTAGTGGGCACAGTGGTACAGAATGTGATGAAATTCTTGTTCCATAGCATGTCTCACAACGAATACAGCGTTTTGCAAGCTCAGCTGGCTACCAGTTGCCTTTCTGGCTATTGGTTGCCTTCTCTAAAGTCTGTTCTTCTGCCTCAGTAGCAATTAATGGTATGAAATAGGCTGAATTTGTAGACTTGCATGGCCCAGGCAAGGCCCTTCTGTTTGTTTTGAATGCTGAAGATGGCTGACTGGTTTGAATGAAGCATTTCCATATTGTAAGTAACTGCTTTCTTGTAATTTTTAGCCCACGTTTGCTTTTGAGCTCTTCACTGTCTCCTACAAGTGAAAGGCATATCTTTGGAGAATCGTAGAATCATGGAATGGTTTGGGTTGGAAGGGACCTTAAAGACCATCTAGTGCCAACCCCCTGCCATGGGCAGGGACACCCTCCACTAGACCACGTTGCCCAAAGCCCCATCCAACCTGGCCTTGAACACTTCCAGGGATGGGGCATCCACAACCTCTCTGGGCAACCTGTGCCAGTGCCTCACCACCCTCACAGTGAAGAATTTCTTCCTAACATCTAATCAAAATGGACCCTCCTTCAGCTTAAACCCATTACCCCTTGTCCTGTCACTACACTCCCTGATAAACAGTCCCTCTCCAGCTTTCCTGCAGGCCCCTTCAGGTACTGGTAAGCCGCAATTAGAATAATGGGAAGATGATGCTATTTTATATAATAACTTGGATTCTTCGGTTTCTGCATCCTGTGTCTTTACCTGGTACATTGGAAACTGGTTTTGAATGCCTTGATAGAGACCTATCTGCTTATCTCAGTCACTAACCTTTGCCTTAGTTTGAAAGAAGAAAGGGAATAAGTTTGCATTTCTCTAAAACGATAAGTTGCTTACAGGATGTAGGGTTTTTTGCGTAACAAGTCATGTACAACGTGCATGTTTTAGAGACCCTTAGCATTTAATAACACTGCAATTATTAAAAGCACCCTTTTCTTTGGAACTCTGGAACTTCTAAGTAGGAATTCGTGTTATGAATACACAGATGTTGCAGGAGAAAGATTAGCATTCAATTCTCATGCTGAAAAGCACCCTAAGTTTTATCTCGTCATCCCTAAGAAGAAGGCAGGTGTGTTCTTGTTTTTTGGGTCTTTTCTGCAGCATTCAAACTCTTTTTCCTGACAAAACCTGGCATTGGTCCAGGGGAATGCATAAAAGTGGGCTGACACCTTTTCTGAAGTAATACACCTACTGGCTAGAGTGGATGAGTAGAGTCCTTCATTGTGTTTGCACAGGGACCAAATGTCAGCTCCAATTCAGTGGTCCACGATCAGCCTCTGGCTGAGCAACTTGCTGGGTTGGACGTCACTGCCGAGGTGATGGTAGTGGGCTGACGGCGTACAGCTCCACATATCTTTTGTCTTATCTGTCTCTATGTCTGTTAATAAAAAACAGTGCTAGTACTCGGGCTAGACCTGAAGAAATTCTACGTGCGGTTCAGACTCCTTCGTGTGAGTGTGTATTCCCATAATTAGTTAATTCAGTGTGCAGGTCTCCGGTGTTACTGGGATGATACTTTCTGTCCTTTTTGGCTGGTGAGCAGATGCTCTCAAGCTTTGGCACGTGACAACCCCACCAAATGGGTCCAGGCTCTGGTGGTGTCGCAGCTAGGCTACAGCAGAGGGATGTGCCCAGCCAGGGTGCACTGGAGGCTCCAGCTTGCTCTGAACACTGCAAAACAGCTCCCTCACCATGCTGCAGGTGCTTCGTCTTTCTCAGCGGGGAGGGGACAGCAGGAGCAATGGAGAAAGCCGTGTCAGAATAATGATTAGGCCTGTTTGCTCTCTTATTATGACCGTAGGTCATTAAAAGCATTGAGCTCCTGTTTGAACGTGTTGTATGAGATATGTAAATACTGTCTTAGACTGATTTTTGTGTTGGTTTTTAAGTGTCTCTACTTCTCTACTCCAGTGTCAGTGAAAGAATGATTACTTTTTTTTTTTTTTTTTTGCTTAAGGATGCTGATCTTTTGGACATAGAAAGCAAACATTTTGAAGATTTGGAATTTCAGCAGCTTGAACATGAAAGCAGGTTAGATGAAGAGAAAGAAAATCTGACACAACAGCTCCTGCGTGAAGTAGCTGAATATCAGCGCAGCATTGTCAATAGAAAGGTAAAAGCACTAACACTCGATGCGTTTGTTCTTTATTGTTGAGCATAATGGAGATGAAATGGATCTATAACCTGCCCATCTGTAAGAAATAATGCAAAACTTTGCTCTTTGAAAAAGCTTTTCTAGCAGAGCAAAGATGATGGCCCAGTAACATCCCACACAGATCAAATCATGCACGTCTCCAAAAGGAAATAAATCAATACAATTCCATGTCCTGTTTGTATATTTGCATATGAAAATTTAATCCTTTAATTTGCTACAAAAAGTAGTAACCAAAGCATTGGGTTTTTTTCTTCTTTAAGAAAGGAGGTTTGTATGCTCTGGACAAAACTAGTTACTTTATGATCATGATTGATGTCAATGTTAAATGATTTTGTTAAAATAATAATAGAACACCAATTTAAGAAAATACCTTTATTTTTACAATAGATTGGAGCTTTATAACTAATCTCAACCAATTAAATACCAGTTTTTCAGAGAACAGAAGTTGCATCTCTAACCCACTTCTGTTCAGTATATGGATGCTAGTCACCATATTATCAAAGAATATGTGCAATTGTTCTTTTGTTTTGTTTCATGAATAAATGGTCTCTTTACTGTCTAAATCTTATTTAATTATCTCCTTCAGAGCAGTGAGCTGTCTCGTAAAAACTTATTTTCCTACTGCTTCACTCATATGAATGGGTGAACTCTTATGAATAGGATCCTTGCTGCAGGTTGTCTTGTGCTTTGAAAGTAAAACATGTAAATTGTCATTGTTTTTCTATTAGGAAAAGATTTCTGCTCTCAAAAAACAAGCTAATCATATTGTCCAGCAAGCACAAAGAGAACAAGATCATTTTGTAAAAGAGAAAAACAACCTAATAATGATGCTGCAAAGGGTAAGTATTCATTGTCTTTCAAATATTTTTAGCATGGAATAAAAGAGCATTTCATGGAGTAAAAGAACATAGAGCGTAAGAAAAGCATCAGTTGTGCAGAAGCTATCAAGTAGGTAATAACATGATAGACATAATTTGTATCCATTAGCCTTTAAAAAAAGGAAGTCTGTTGTAATTAATCAGCAGATTTCCTAAGAGAAAATGCTAGTGGCATTTGATAATTGAGAGGATTTAAAGGTGCCCCCCTTCCAGAGGACTCAACCAGAGGCACCCATCCGGGTACTGAAGCTAGAAGCGTGTGCTCCCTGTGGGGCTGCTGGAGCTGTGCAGAGAGTGCTCATATTTTTGGCTTGTAGTAGCCCATACCAGGCCACCAGATGAGCTGCTTAACATCAGCTAACATCTGGTTAATAAGAAGCTGGCATGAACCTTTCGTGTCCATTTTAAGTTTTGCATTTAATCATGGGAGAAATCATGTTTACTTCATTAAGCAGAATTAGCATTTTCAAAATGCTGAAGGAAGACCTATTTGATTTGGCTGTGGTTATTAAATAAAGTCTTTCACTAGCTTTTCATTCTGTATCTTCATTTTTTGTTTATATCTGCTGTAAATGGATAAAGTTGAAGCTCTGCTGTGCAGTTTCTAGCCTTTTATCCCAGCATGTTTCTTTACGCAGTTAATATAAAATGTCTGGTTTTAACAGGAAAAAGAGAATCTCTGTAATCTGGAAAAGAAATATTCCACGCTTTCCGGAGGAAAGGGATTTCCTGTCAGTCCCAATAGTCTTAAAGAGGTAAAAGAGATTCACTGCTTTTGACTTGATCATAAGTAACTTTTAATAACACTTCATACAAAAGCACTTTAGTGTTTTGTGAAGTCCTATTCATACAAATTTTTTTGAGACATGATGAAATTACTTTGTAAAGCTATTCATGGAAGACCAAATGCGTGGGTGACGAAAAATAGCTTCTCTCGTTATTTTCCCGGATGTGACTGATATCACCTTAATCTCTTGCTCTGGAAAAACGATCGGGTTTGTGTGTGTGTGTTTAATTTTCTCAAAATAGACAATTAAACCTCATTGAAGTGAAGAAGAATGAGGTCCAGGAATAATTCTGTTCAAGTATGAACACAGTTCAGTCTTATTTTTGCACTGTAGATTTTCTCATTGCCTCCTCTCCCTTTATTCTAAGGCTCTGCACTAAAGCCTGACAAGTGTACATTTTGGTCCTTTTAAAAAGCATTGAATTGAAGACCTCAAGGTATTGTGGTTGTAAGGTACCTATTGAGCTATTTATTTAACTGTTTTGAATAGTTAGAGTAAAGGTGTCAAATAAAGTTAGTTAGTTAGTTACCCTGAGTTAGTTTGGGTAATGCACAATGAGACCCAGAGGTTACCTGCAGTTGTCAAGACTTCGTAGCTTTGAGGTACCGCTTTAAGCCTCAAGGTCCGTGAGCAAGGTCAGTGTAAGGTAAGCCACCGCCCGTTACAAAAATTCAGTCAGCACATACGATATTAGCATTAACTCCCGGTATTTATCTTCTTGACTTGATGAATCTGCAAATTGCAAATAAAAATGAAGTTCTAAATGGAGAAGCGGAAAATCAAGCGTTTAAAATGCACTGACAGGTATCTGTGGCTGTTTCATTAACCTCTGCTTAAGAGGTCTGACTGGACATGCCGGATCTGCTTGTATCGAAGCCCTGAACAAGGTCTGTCACATCTGATGACATAGGTGTCACTGTGGGAAGTTGGGCTCTTGAAGTCTACCACGTGTCCTTTGAGCACCTGGGCAGTGAGATCTTGCTTGTTTGGCCTCCAAGTCCCTGGTGAACCCGGGTGGCCTCCAGCACGTACCAGTGGGGTTGAGCACCCTTCCTCACTGCAAGCCATGTTGCTGATGATTAGAGTTTCAGTGTCCTAGGTTGTGTTCTGATCCGGACGTCTGACCTCCCACCAGGACATCTGGCAAGTCTAAGCTTCATTTTTTTTTCATTTTTAGATGGATCTGTTCATTCTCTCACTAGAGAGTGGGCGCTATCTCTGATTTTTATCTTCGTATCCACATAATGGCTTGTTTAATCACAGATATTTCAAAATGCAACTACATTAAGTGAACCTAACGCTCTTTTTATTGAAATGGATTATTCAGTGGTGTCATTCTGTTCACTGCAGTGAAGCCAGTTAGGACTTACTCTAAGGCAAATGAGAGAAGGAACAGCATGGGTTATCTGTTTCCCCATAAAAGAAACGCCTTTCCTTGCCAGATGTTATGTTTGTCTCAGTCCAGTTTAATTTTTCTCTGACTGTTCTGGCACCTTTAAAAATCAGGCACCAAATGGTACACGGGCTTAAATAGACTGCCTGCACGCAGAAGTTAATTTCACCATGCTGTTGCTCACATATCATTCGAGTCTGTGGTCCAACGTTTCCCAGCCTCTCCTCACCAAAGCGCACGTTTGTGACTCTCTTCCATCCATCATGAAGCTTACTTCCTGCATGCACAGCAACAGAGAGTAACACGGCCTCACGTAAAAGCAGCAGGATGCTTATTCCATTATTTAAATAAGTGAGGAAAATCAATGCTGTTTAAAAGTTCAGCGTTGAAAAAATGACTTGGATACCTCATCTGACTTGAAACCATTTATTTCATCTACTGTAACAGGGGCTTGAGCTAATGCACAGCACAGTCATTTGTTGTTTGCTTTTTTTTTTCTTTTAATCCCATGGTGAATCCCCACTGGGGCTGTGAGTCTGAACTGAATGGTTTTCATATAACAGTGAAAGTGCTTTTATATTCTATAAAAATGAATACAGTGTTGCATTCATAAACTTGCCAGGTTTTGGCTACTGACATGCTGCTACTACAAGATGGTTAAGCAAGTTTTGTGTTTATTCATACTGGACTCTATTTTACTGAAATAGGGCCACATGTTTTGAGAGGTAAACTTTAATATCTTACCCAGTCTCCTTCTCATTTAATAGTTCATCAAATAATATCAGAGTTAAAATTTGCTTCCTTTTTCTAGAGTGCTGTGTTCACAGTATGATACTTAATTTTCCATAATTGTGTATCTGCTTTAAATAACTGATAAATTACATTGAAAGTTATGCTAATAGATATTAGGGTTGATATTTTTTTCAACTTGCCTTCTATGATCATCCCTAAATTTATTCATTTTTAAAAAGAAGAAATACTACAGCAGTCTGTGGCTTCTGTAACTGAATTGCTGAAGTATACATACTGGCATGTCAGTGTGCTGGTACAGTAATAGAAACATAGCCCCTTTGACACCTTCTCAGTTTAAAAGCAGCTTACCATCTTGATTTAAAAAATAAGCATATTTCTATCCGATTGTTATGACGTTGCTTCAACAGTGATTTATTCTTCCTTTTGCACAGCCTTGTTTTCTATGTATAAGAAGTTAGGGCATTTGACTTTTTATAGTCTGGCATCCTGTACACCATGGATTAGAATCCATATTTTATTTTTTAAATAACATTTGTTCAGTTAACACCAAAACACATGCAATAATTGTATTCTGCCATTATAGCTCAACTATGTCTGCATAAATCTTTTCTGCAGGCAGAAGCACACTCTGATGTCCATGCCTTTCCCCAGTCTGTCACCTCCTGTATGACAGTTTAAAAAAAAAAAAAAGGGAGCGGGGGGGGCAAATTGTAATGGCTATGGGGCTAACACTAACAGCATCTTACCTGCGTCTCCTGGTAACACCTAAAAGTTGGAAATGACTTCCAGACAAGGTAAATGGAAGGTGTTATATCAGCGTAATTTATAGAGTAGCAATGGCTTGTCCTTACGCATCTTCTTCCCAGTTCTGTTAGTCACTTGGTTTACTCAAACTAGCTTAAGAGTTAGGCAAGAAACCAATCAGGGTAAGTTATTTCATTTGAACATGGACACAAAAAAAATAACAAGTAAATAGATGGACGAGTAAGATTTGTTCTTTCTTTTCCCCCCAATCTGCTTTCCCGAAAAAGAGCTACATAATTTCTAAAGGGTATTTACATTTTACTAAAGACTTTTGATCCTGTAATGTACATTTGCTTTTGGATTACACAAATGTTTTTGGAATTAAATGAAGAACAATTTTCGGAATCCAAGTATTCAACATTTGAAAAGCTTGATGATAATTTTATTTTACTTACAATGAAGTATTTCAATGATAACAAATATTTGGCTGTATCACTCTAGACTAACTTTCATCGTACTGGATACATTAATACTCTTGCACGTCTTTTGGCTTTTGCTCCTTGTAACTTCTGAATTCCTCCTTTTAGGGCTATATCAGTGTAAGTGAAATTAGTGAGCTGTATGGCAATTCCACGAATATATCCCCTTCCACTCAGCCCCCCACAGATGCTGAAGCAGTTGCCACTGAGCCTTCCACGGCTGTGCTGACCAGCCAGCCACAAAATAAAGAGGTTTGTTTGAGAGACATTTCCCTTTGTTTGCATTGTTCTTTCATGACTGCCTTTTCTTTTTTTTTTTCTTTTTTTTTAATTTTGATAATTCAACATGTAACAAATTGACCCTAAGGCAAACTGCTGTCTGCCAGTTACTGAGTCAGGTAACAGTTTAATAGTAAAGCTGAAGGACTGCTCCAGTTGTAAAGTGTCTTTGATGATGTAGATGGGACTTCAAAGGCCAAAACACCTGAATGCTTATGACCCAAGCAGCAGTAAGTGACAGTCTTTGCTGGTCAAACACTATAATGTAATGCACCTTTGGTAGATGGTCTGTGGACACACTTAATGATTACTTGATCAATGGTGCTTAGGTGTTCCTTTTGTATGTTTTATAGCTTTTGTTTTCTTTTTTTTTTTTTCTTTTCCTGTGAGGTGGTAGAGGTATATCTTGAATATTTGTGGGAGATGAGTAGTTCCTACTTGTCTGAGCTATTCCACGGAGTCTGTCCAGTCTGTGTCTTCTAGCTCACTCTCTCTTTTTGTCAGTCTTTGTGATGTTTTTGCCTTTGTAATGGCCAAAGCAAATTTTGAATAAATGCCCTTTTAAAGGAATGGAATAACCTAATGAATGTAAAGCCACTTACCTTTGTGTTGCAATAAGGCAGCAACTGGTTTAGAATTTGGCATTTCTGTGCTGCTTCTGGTAGCTCAATATGCCTTGAGAGTTGCAATACAACACATCTCCTTCCCTGCTAAACGCTCCAACAAACACAGTGCTAAAACTGCAGCTTGTATGTGCCGTATCTTTTGAGCGATTCCAAAAAGAAAACTCTATGTGTAATTTCTCTTTTTTCTATAAAGCTAAGATCACCTCTCTGTTCTGGATTTGTGTTTCCTCACTCTCTTTCTCCTCGCTCTATTGCTCAACTTCCATCAGTCCATTGGCCTGAGGTCATGGCTACTCATGTAGATCCTATTCCTTTATCTGATACACCTCCACCTCTGCCAGCTAAGAAACACCGCAGGCAACAACAGGTAACAGATTCAAAGCTGATAACTTGGAATTATTTTGTTTGTTTTTGTTATGGTGGCCATGAAATTGATTTATGTGTGAAGTTTTTAGACTGATATGATAGGACATGAGTTGATCGTGCTTGCAGAGTGTTGCACTTAAAGGCACTGCTCATTTAAAAATAAATACATCATATTATAGAATGTTATTGAACAAAAATTGTCCTTATATAAACAATCCAGAGACAAATGCTAATCTTTAGGAGCCATTGTAACTGTCAGAAGGCTTGCAGCAATGAAGTACAGGTGGCTGTGTTTGAAATCCTAAATCAGTTTTAAGTCACCAGTTCATTAGAACAACTTGTAAATAAATGTTTTTCTGTGTAATTAGATTCCACTTGTACACTAGACTTGAGTTTTTAGAAAAAAAAAAATTAGGTATAGGGACATGTACACAAAATGTGCACGTAAATTGAATGTATTTTTTTTATCAGCATGATTTTAATGTGATATTTGTAGAAATCCTGGAAAGCACTGTGAAGCAGGAGGTGTTCTGTGTTTTAGCTTTCATTCTTCCCAGTGAAGTTCCCAGACTATCACCTTCAGTATATTCCATATAGAGCATAACTGAGCAAGTAGGTCAATTCATTTTGTCAAAACTGCGTAACAAATTACATTTGAAGCATTTCAGAAATCTGGAAGAGCGAAAGAAGCAGCACAGGGAATGCATGTACATGAGCGATACTTTACCTCGCAAGAAAACGACTCCGTCTGTATCACCGCACTTCAGTAGCGCTACGCTGGGACGAAGCGTTGCATCTAAAGTACGTAGTTGCATGCTATTAATAGCCTTCCACTATCTATATAAAAGCCTATATTATGTTAGAGGAAAGGTTGGGTGGAACTGTAAGCTTTACATAATCCCCCAAATTCACATCTGATATTGACTTTGAAAGAAATTCAGGTTTATTAACATGTGGAAATATACGTGAAGCCTTTATTTTGGCCTCCAGATATGCCATGCTGAATAGTAATCATGCATTTATGATTAATGTATCATCTCAAGGATTGTATTTCCAGGCTAGTCTAAATTGATTCTAGAGGCACAACAGGTTGGTTTCCTTCCTACCTAAGGCCTCTAAATAGTGAAGATAAGGTTGTGTATAAAGTGAAAATACTCTTTATTTGTGATGTGGTAAGTCAACAAAGAGCAGCAAGGTGGAGATATTACTTGGAAAACATTTGGTCTAATAGGTGCACAACTAAAATATCCATGTCTGATTGATATGATGTGACATTGATACTTGTGACAAATCAAGTTATTTTACCATTAGTTGCTGATACAAAAAATGTCTTGAAGTGTAGTTTTAAGCACATATTTACAAAATTTCCGACAGGGACATTTACCATTAGGACAGAGCAACAGCTGTGGCAGCGTACTTCCTCACTGCCTGGCAACCATGACCAAAGAGTCAGAGTCGAGAAGGATGCACAAAGGTAAGACTATTTTATTTCATTGCTATTAAAATTCAGCGTTCAATTTTTCAGAAAATAAGTCTGAAACTGGTGTCGCTAAAATCAACAGGGCTGTAAAATAAAAGTTTTCTTCTTGGTGAAAAAAGCAAGCTCTAAATGCTATTTGCAGATATTGGCAAAATAAGATGTTAAGATAATGATGTAGGCGCACATGCAGTTTTGAAGCATGTGGTCATCAAATATACTCCAGTAAATAAGAAAGGTATATTGAAAAATGTGCATTGGTTTAACTGGGTAATTTCCATGAGTGGTTTTGAGGCAATATATTGTAAGATACTACACGTAGCTTTTTTTTCCTTCCCTTTTTTTTTTTTTTTAAAGCAATTCTTTCCATGTTGTGATCTTAAAAATTGTTTTTCACTGGCGTATGTTTTTTGCCTGGACAGAGTAATTCCCTAGGCAGATACACCTTTGCAAATCTGTAACTGTGCTATTGTAACTAGTCTTAAATATTTGGGCTACAAACAGGAAAGGAGAGAGGTGTTCTGTCATGGATAGCTAGCTGTGTTTTTGTAATAGGGACAGGGCAATTCGGGATCCAAAAGAAAGTGACATCTTTGAAATACTGTCCTCCAGGCTATGGGATTGTCATTTATTGACTTGAGTCAATACACTTAATGTCTACTTTAACGAGATGCATTATTCATAAGTGTCCCATTCTCACATGGAATTGCTCCTCCGTGCCACCTGTCAGTTTCTTTTCTTTCCGGCATCTGCATCACTGTTATCAGTGTAAGAGCAAGAGGTCCTTAAGGAGAATTGCACTGACTAAGCCTGAGGTGAGGCAGAGCCATCCTGTTGCTGTAGGACTTGTCAGAGCTAGCAGCTGTTACAGGTCAAAGAGGACGACTGAGGTCAGCCATACACACCAAGATGACTCAATGCAGGGATGGAACAAGCTTGCTGTGGGATCATGACTTACTACATTCACTTTATAGAGCTGATCCAGTTGTGATTTGTTGGTTTTGAGCTTTAGTTATGCAGCAGACCTTCCACAAACCTACCATGTTGTGGCTAATTTTTCCTGAAGTATTTCAGATGCGATACAAAAGGACCTTCGTACTTGGAAAAGCTTCTTTGATGTCATGTGTGTGCAAGGATGGAATAAGTTGCAAGTACATTCAGTCTCATTGTCAAAACACTTTGTTTCAGTTTGCAAATCAGTAGGGCTGGTTTGGGTAAACTTTCATGACAAGAGATCACCTGTTTAAAATTGGAAACATTTCTGTAAAATGGTTGCAAAAGAGTATTAGTGTGTGACCTAAAACACAATTACAAAATGTTACCAAACCTACCAAAGATAAAAATTTTAAAAATAAATTGATCAGTTTTAATATTCCATTTTTTGTCAGCATGCAACTAAGACAATTCTAAGAGTATAGACAGACTTCTTGTCTTAAGAGCGAAAAAGGAAAAAAAAACCCAAACCCAACAAAACCCCACAAACCCAAACTGAATTATGGCCTGACAAAGAAGAGAGGCGAGGGGAATAGGAGAGATGTATCCGTTAAGGCACTTGGCACAGTACTCACCACATGCCACGAGGAACCACGTGTGCTATACTGCCTGCCATACTAGATGATGATGATTATTCTTTAGAAGAACCCAAGGTTTGAATGGAAATACTAAATTAGGAAGGCAGCCTTGTGGGATTAATTTGTGCTAGGAAAGAGGACAGTTCTAGATGGCCTATTCTGAAACATCAGCTTTGCTAAAGGCAAATAATGTTGCTGACTTGTTTACTTTTACTTTGCAAACCCTGTGAGAGTTCGAGATAGGGTCAAACCACGAAAGATGTAGGAGTGCAAGGATTGTCTGTGGCTTGTCTACCTCTCTTAGTAGTTAGTGAAGGGTTTATTCTCTTTGTGTTCAACGTGGAGGTCCCTGAATGTAGTGCTGTAGGAGGAGCTTGAAGAGTATAACTGCTTTCTCATGCTCTGAAGCGCCGTGTTTCTTGTTTGAGGAAAGCTCCTTTGTCTTGGTAACACACCACAAAAGTTTTTGCAAGGCTCTTTCTGCGCCGCAGTGCAGAGCTCAGCAAGGAAAGAGATGTCCAAGTCAGGTGGCTAGGGTCAAATCCTAGAGTATTTCTATCCAGCTATACAAAAGGGCCAGAGAAACAATCCTCAGGCATATTTCATTCAGCCTTACCAGCATAGCTTTAATGAGTGTCCTGGTATGAGCAGGGAGGGGTCTGCACCCAACTTGGGGTGATTTCTGGTTTCCCCTAGCACCTCAGACCCACGCTCAGTGTGTGGAGGAAAAACAAGCTTCCCTTCCACAGCATGGGTAAAAAAAAAGTGCATTTCTGTGGGATAGTGAGATTTGGGAAATGTTCTGAACGTGGTGTAGTATTTAAACGTACCACACAGCACAATTGAAGTGGAATATTATTGCCAATTAACATTATGAACTCTTATGTGGCTTCCACTAAAATCAGTGGGATTTGAGTCCCTAACTAAGATTACTTTCAGCAGACATCCTTAAATACATCATTGAAAACTAAGCCGTGTCATGTAAGTGGGCATCCTTGGCTATGTTCTTTTATTCCATCACTCTATGATAAATGTTTATTATATACTAAATACACTGTATTTCTTACAAAAACGTTCCTGAGGCAGATCAGGTTTGCCTTTTTGGACTAAGTGAATAATCTGGAGGAATAAGATTTTCTACCCAATCAGTGGAACTCTGCAAATGTCTACATACTGCTTATACTGAGGAATAAGGGCTCACTTCTCACTCCAAAAATTAGTTGTTCACCTAAAATAGGTAATGAGTAGGCAAAAAGTGTTCTTCATTTGTCATGTGTACTGAGCCACTGCTTGCTTTCCTCGTGTTTCTTTTCCCGCTTGACAGGTTTTTCACTCTGTTGGTTTTCTGCGTTCAAGGTAATATATCGCAAACAACATGGGGGTCGTGATTTACTGATACCTTGAGCACACAGCTGCACCAAATGCGCTGGAGCTGGGTGTGCTCGGCTCAGTGGAGAGCCAGAGCCTTTCATCCACTCTGTTTGGAGCGCTGGCTATCACGCAGGGACCCACAAACTGCTATACGAAGAGGATGATGCGCTCCTGAAGCAATATTAGTAGCTTACCCCATTCCTCAGGGCTTAAAAGCATTGAGCAAACTTCTAGGGCAGATGTTTCGGTATGTTTGTATAAATCTGAAAAGTATATTCAACAGTGCCTGGTGGAAGTAGCAGCTCAGCTAGTTTGAAGATATTATCTGAGAATCATCATTAAAAATTAATTAGCAATGGTATGAGTTTTCTCTAATTTGCTTTCTCCAATTTTTCTAATCTCAGTCCGAGAAGGTAAATGTAAAAGTCTGAGATGAAAAAATTCTAAGTAAAAAAATTGGCAGGGTTAGACAATTCAGTCCCATTGACAGTGAGATGGTCTCCAGAAGGGAAGAGGCAATGGTTAGCTGGGAGTTAAGACATAAGACCACAGCACTGGGAACAAAACTGTTGAGACCAACAAGATGATTATCGTATACTTTCTAAGCTCTACTAAAAAGCAATATATTGAGGGCAAGATATATATGTAAAAACAAATTATAAGCATTTCAAAGCTGTTTGCTTCTTCCTTTTTTTTTCTTTCTTTTTTTTCCTTTTTTTTTTTCTTTTCCCCTCTCCCCACTCATCGAACTCAGGAAAAGCCAGGAAAGGTATGAAAACATCCCTTTACCTGGCTGTATCTATCATTGTCATGTTTTGGCAAAAGTACTGATTGCATCAGCACTGTCAAGTTGTTCCCAAAATTTTGGAAAACTTTTAAATAATTATGAAGTATTGATAGCACTTCAAATTTCTTTTTTTCTTGCTGTCAAATAAGCTGTCACAACAAAACTTCTGATTAATGCTAATATCTGCAGAGCTACCGCTTTGTGCAGGCCTAATTTTTTGCTTCTTTGCTCATAGCCACACAAGTAGAGCAGAAAATTTAGAAATCTTTGCAGATCTGTGGGTGACAATGACAAGGTAGACAGACTTGGGCTTCCTATTTGGCATGTTTCCATACAAAAAAATGTATCTTGACATGTTAATGTCAATCTTTTTGCTCCTTTCAAAAAAAAAAAAAGAATGGAAAGAAAAGAAAATATTGTACCGTGATCTTTTTTATAAAGTACTATTTTTTTAACATACTTGACAGTGCCACTTTTAATAACAGCTTTCACCTGTAGTTCTGACCTCACCATAATTTTGTGGTGGTATATCTGTTTTTTGTGATTCTGCAATAACTCTTGTGGATTTTTTTTTTGATTTTTTTTTTAAAAGTATATGGCTTTATGGATATTTGCACTAGTTCATTCAACGGTATGGCTGTTAACACTGTTACATTTACTGTCTTACTAGAGGGAATACAAGCCAATGCAACAAGAAACATTTTAGCACTTGTATCAGCTTAGACTTGGCTGATACAAGTCTTGGCTTGTGGGAAACTTTTAGTAAAGTGCTGGATCTTACGAGGAATCTGATATTTTTAAGTGCACGTTCTGTGAATAAGCAACCGAGCAGTTCAAAATTCCTTAAGCAACAGATTGTGCCTGCGCGACGTGTAAGTGGGGCTGTGACGGAGGCAGGCTGCTTGTGAGGCTTCTCGGTGTTGGTACGCAGCCGACCCTCAGCTTTGAACTGTCTGTTGCTTACGGCATGAGGAGGAAATGAGAACATTGCGTTATGCTTTGTTTCTGTGAATGCATCTCATTTTGCGACCCAACGACTGTATATTTCTTGCAGTGTTCAGTTATGTTTGCATGATTACATAAACTTAGCTCATAAAATATTTTACTTTAAAATGGGTTATCTTCATGGAAAGTTGACTTTCCTTTAAGAGATAGTTTGTAAAAGTGCTACATTTCTCTATGCCTTTTAGCTGGGTTTATTTTTCAGTGAAATGTAAGATACGAAATTAAGATTTCTGAGCAGTCAAGGTTTTGCATCGGGCTCAATAGAAGAACATTAATTTGAATATAGTTTCTTTCAGTAATTTATTTTTTTCTCTCTTTCCATAATGAATAATTGATAACCACTTTACAGGAGCAATTAGTCATTCCAAAGGTTCGAGTGTAAAAGGTAACAGCGTATCTGCAATAACAGCAGCGTTTGCCTTAATAATGGGAAAAATCCCAAAGTGCACATGTGAATCAGTAACACCTGTGTTGTGTGATGCTATTATCTATAACTGCTGAGGTGTATTTGTGTCCCTTTTGTCTCTTTTACTAATTGGTGCAATTGAACTTTTATTGAAATGTAGCATTATTTCAAATGACAAGTAAAGTCCTATTAGTTCCTTAGAAACCAGCTTTAATTGTCAACAAGAAGCCTTTGTATGGTACAGAGGGAAGTCAGGAGGAAAGAGGAAACTATCTACCTCCAAAATGCTTGTAGGGCATGATTTCCTTAATAATATGCTTTAATTATTCAGCTTCAGTCATGCTTTTCAGATACCTTTTGGAGAGTATTATAGCCTTTCCAAGGTAGAGCTGCAGTTGTTGGCTCCCTGAACTGGGAGTCTACCCACTACAGGGCATGGCAAAAAATAAGACAGTAACTTTGTATGTGCAGATAGAGAATGAGAATAAGGCAGAAAAAAATCCCACTTCAAGCATGTTTTCTTAACATCAGTGTCTTAATAGCGTCTAGTAAAAATTTTTATCTGGACTTTGCTGCATTTGTACATCTGTCTGCATTTTTCCTGTGTCTGTTTATCTGAAATATGTGGAATGTCAGTGGCTGATTTCCTATACAGATGGAAGGTTTTCATGTAGTCTAAGAGTCCTTCGTAATCTCCAACTCTGCCACCAGCTCAGATTTTGGGTCAGAAATGTGCAGAGAGTATCACAATCTTGACTATCAGAGCTGTGCGAAAGTCTTGCATTGATTGAAGGAAAAGATGAGCAGTGCAGTTGCATTTGTAATCACATAGATTAAACAAACCTTAAAAGGGCACTGTAAAATAACTCGAGCAGTTAAAACGACAACTGTCGTTACACTCTCCTCTTTATCAGGCAAGCTCAACTACCTCTCTGTAAGTCTGTATAAATACTGCTGCATTATTTACAAAGAGCAGTGGAGACATGAGATAAAAATAATTCTGAAGAAATATTTTTTAAAGGAGACGTAGCCAAAGTTCCCTTTGTTCAAGAAGGATGGCTTTTCAGAAAGCATGACTTTGTGGAAAAATAACAGCACAAAGAACTTAAATGTTGCATAAACCTTATTTTTCTTTACAGTCATTGAGCTATAGGCATCTGCTTCAATCATGTAGGGTGAACCACCCTTTCAAAACTCCAGGAAAGTACCTCTACACAAGTAACTATGATGGTGTGACAAGTAGGCTATATTATTTCAGCTGCAACTAAAAGCCTACCTTGCAGTTACCAGAAGGCAAAGTTCCCCAAACAGACAAAAAATAATCCACATTCGGTAAAATCAATCAAGACCATTCAATATTAGGACTTTTTTTTTTCCCCTTTAATTTAATCAGTGTCAGTTCTTCCAGATCCCTGAATTTAGCTGCATTACTTTTCCAGATTACATTCATTTTAAAATGAAAATTTCATTTAAATTAAATTTTCATAATACACATACAAGAATATATATTGAAAAGTCAGCCATACTAATCTGCATATATTTGTGTCCATCATAGATAAAACAGGTATTTAAAGGTTTTATTTCATTTATCATTAATTTCTGAAATTAACTGCAATATTGTAGTACCTTGGTCACAGTGCAGTTAAGACTGAGGTGATGTTCAAAATGCTTGTGCTACTAACATGTTATGTTCAGGTCACAAAACTTCTGTGTAAAATAAATGTTTCCTCTGTACTCTGTAGGGTATAACCATCAGCGTATGTGTGAAAACCAAAGGCAGAAGTCTCCTGAATTCTACAGCAGAACAGCATCCGAATCAAATGTGTATTTGAATAGTTTCCACTACCCAGATCGTAGTTACAAGGACCATGCCTTTGATACATTAAGCTTAGACAGTTCTGACAGCATGGAGACAAGCATATCAGCATGTTCACCAGATAACATTTCCAGGTAAATAATTTTTCTTTCTCATGTTGTAATGGCCATAGGGTTATAATGGAAAAAGAGAATATGTACATGATGATGCTATGGTAATGTGAATGCTGCTGACTGGTTAAGAAAATATAAGATCATTAGACAGGCATAATATTTAGTGATTGTGTAGCCCTTCATAATCAGGGTTAACTATCATCTCACCTGTCTGTTTATTTAAAGATGGAAAATAAAAATATGGAGAGGCTAAGTGGTAATTTTGAAGGCCACGGAGAAATCAGTGTCAGTCCTGAACTGAAATGAAGTTGTCCATGTTCTTTTCAGAGTGAGCAATACCTGAGCTTCCTTCCCTGGTCACTCCAGGGATGGAATTTCCTGTAATAGGAAATTTCTCAAAGACATCTGCCGGCGATGAAATACACTTGTTCTGCAAGTCCAGCATGTTAACTTACTAGACTCTTATGCCAAAACACTTAGGGCTCCTCCGGCAGTCTTTTTTGCCCTCTCCTCTCCCTTTTCTGGGTCAGTAAAAACGAAGAGGTGACACTGAAAGGCTTATAGCCCTCGGCTGCTTTTCTCATCCTCAGAGGCTGTCAGCTCAGACACCACTCCTCAGATGAAAGAAACATCAACGATCTGCATTAAAAGAAAAGTCCAACTGAGTCTCAAAATCGTGTGCAAACAATTTTCTTCTTTTAATGATAGTGCTTTCATTTCTGCTCACAGTCCTGCCCCAGCAGTTTCACAAGCAGAAGTGGAGGCTGATAATTAAGTACAATGTTGTCACAGGATTAAGAACACCTTGTGAACACAAGGACAGCTTTTTTGCCTAGCATGTTGTGTTTTATTCAGCATCTGTTTCCTGTAACAGGGTATCAGCCCACAGATTTCCTTGTAGTCTTTATCACTGCAATGTTAATGGTTTCAGAAAATACCAGTGGCACTCATTCTGCTGGCTGGTGGGTTTTTTGTTTGGTTGGTTTTGTTGGGGTTTTTTTAAAGTAAAAACATTAGGACTCAGGTTTTAAGGATTTCTGGTTTAAGTAGATACACAGTCGGCAAGTTTCTGATAGCTGGAGACAGGCTGGGAATTAACTCTATCTCTGCAGTGATCTAACATGGCAGTGGTCTGAAATCTGTCTCTCTCTGACTTGCTGCTCTGACCATTTTGGAGGAAGATGGCATGTGTCTGAGCTACCTCGGAGCCACCTCGTCAGTGGAACCTCCAGCCCAGCCCAGGACAGGGGAGCCCCAATGGCTGTGGAATTTCACTGGTGCTGTTTGCCCTTTTGCCTCCCTCTGGTTCTTCTGCAGCTTCCAGCTAATGCCAAAAGGAAAAACAAAACAACAAAACCAAGCCCCCAAAAAAACCCAAATCAATCAAAAAACCAGAAAAGGACCCATTTCAATAGTTCTTTCAGGTTCTCACAAGGCAAACTTGGGTGAGGGAAGAAAAGAGCATGGGCTGATTGTACTGGAGAAAAGAAACAAAAGAAAAAAGGACAGGCAAGGGTGATAGCTGTGTTGTGCTGGGCCTGGATCTAGCACTCTTTGTGATTTCCCTTGTTTCTTCGGTTTGTTGGTTACTGTAACTGACACTACTCTGTCACTGATTGGCCTTTATGCATACCTCTTAATCCTCCTTATTTTTATTGAGCAGTTTTTGATGATGAGCTCAGTAAGACACAAACCAGAGACAGTCTACAGCCAGAAAGACTGGTATATGCAAATGGCTACTAATGTGAGCTCTGAGGATCGGTAGTCTGTTCTGTTAGGACGCTGTAACCACCTCCATCCATAGTCTCTTATCTAGGAGAAGATGACAGATCACAAGGGACTGACAAGATGCATTTTTAGGCACTTGAGTCTGTATTTTTCACAACTTTGTGTGGGGAATGTATACACTGAGAGCGTACCATATACTTAATACAGCATTTTTTGTTAGTGCCTACTGCACTGAATTGGATCAGAACAGTATCAACTCCATTCTTAAACTGTCTAATGTTGGACTGTAAAATATGTCTGGAAATACCAAGTATTCTTTTAAATAACTCTTATTTTTTTGTGCAGTGCTAGCACTTCAAATGTTGCAAGAATAGAAGAGATGGAGAGACTTCTGAAACAAGCGCATGCTGAAAAGACTAGGCTGCTTGAGTCCAGGGTAAGCATAATTTTAGGAGTAAAACTAAGAGTGAGTGTGTTAGATAATATCCTAAATGCAACATTGGACCCTAAATAGTTTACACCTAAGACAGGTAAAAAAATTATATCTCCCCCCTTAGTTTGGTCTGGTTTCACCCTCATGCTACATCTTAGAGCCCATATGCAATAGCTCCTATCTCAATGGGTGAGTCGATGGCAAAATCCCATCAGAAGCTAGGTCAGCATTGCTCCTACACCTGCTAGGAGAGCTGCTTAAGAAGCAGCAGCTCATTTCTAGAGTGGTAATATTTGCAATGCTGTTCCAATTCTTGGTGCCCTTTGCTGGATATATATTTCTGCCTACCTAACAGGCAAAAAGGGAGTTAGTCCTAGCTTAGAAGTTACATTACCAACTATAGTTTCACATGTAATTGAAGTTCTGCATGTGCTGTGGTATTTAGGAACGGGAGATGGAAGCTAAAAAACGAGCTCTGGAAGAAGAGAAGCGCCGCAGAGAGCAACTGGAGAAAAGATTGGAAGAAGAAACTAGCCAGAGGCAAAAATTAATTGAAAAAGAAGTCAAAATACGTGAGAAACAAAGAGCACAGGTGAGATATGTTGACATGAAATGGCTTTCTACGTGCAAGACTTCCCCTTGATATACAGAAGGGACTAAGTGTATTTCTGCCAATGGTAAACAGAACTGCTTTCAGTTGACTAGATTGATTTAGTATTTCAGAGGTGTAACTGTGCTGCAAAAAGTATGTTTGGGCTCTTGGAGCCTTAGATAGATGTCAGAGTATTCATTTATAGTTAAATAATAGCATAAATATCTATTTTATATCTAAAGTATAAATATTAATCCTATAAGGTTTGTTACTGAGTATGGGCAGAGCAGAATTTTTTAGCCTGAATAACAGAAATTTGAGTGTGTTAATTTTAAACACTGTTGGTGGGGTTTTTTTCTTTCTTTTAATACATAAAATATCTTGTAATGTGAATTGTCACTTCCAAATATTTGACACAAAAAAAACAGATAAAGAAGCTTTTCCAGCTCTGCATCTACTGTAGAGAAGAAATAGTATTTTTTCCAATGTTACGGGGACTATACAACATGAGAAACATTATTTAATTAAAACAGTGTTACCTACCTACATCTTCTTGCTTCTTGTTAGGATTTAGAGGTATCTGGAGCTTTCTTTAGGTTTAGAGGTCTTACCTATTTGTTTATTCCACCATAAATAATAAGATCTACATGGTACAGAAACTAAACTAGGCAGTCATTTTATCGTTAGTATAATGTAGCAAGAAAATGTCTCCATCTCAATTTATGTATCTGAGTACAAAAGATTCCACATCATACTTGAATATCTTTCTGCTTTTATCTGTGCTACCTTTGCTAAATCTTTGTTTCATGAGTTACTATTATATTTTTTTATCAACATTCCTACATAACTTGCCTTTCTAATTGGTAGTACTAAATCAGAACAATAGGACAACCGCAGAGGAATTTTAAGCTGTTTCTGGTTAAATATATACATTCCTTCATTTTTATATAAAATGTAATTATCAAATGTTACATTTTATGTGTACTTTACTTGAATGCCTTCTTTTTTTCTAAGAAATTTTAATGTCAACTCAAGTATGGCATAAACAACAACGCAATAGTTATATCTTTATCCCGAATTGGAGTGTCCATGTGTTGTAATAGAATGCTCTATCAGTTACTGCTAATTAGCAGACTAGGGAGAGAGGCCAAAGACTGAATTGGCAGGAAAACACAATGTATCTGTCAAAAATAACTACAATTTTTTTAACAACTTCTTTATTTCCTTTGTACAGTGAAACTAGTTTTTTTTTTTTCAGCACTTCCTGACACTTAGAAATGTAAACTAGGGGAAAGAACCCCACCTTTGCGCTTGCCAAAGCTGGTGCCAGCTTGTATCATACAGGAGTGCATAATTTTAGAGGGGTGCTAAGAGTCCTTGCAGGCAACACAGCTCCCATTGTGCTAAGAGGTTCTTGAGAATGCCATGAGGGACAGTCCCTTTGATTTGTGACTCACAGTAGGATTTAACAGGCTAACCTTAGGCATGGAGCAGGGGCAGATTAGATTCTCCAGGTCACTCACTTCTCTGGAGTCAGGGGGGAGAGAGAGTGGGAGATGCTCCTTTCACGGGTCATTCAAAGCACCGAAATTCAGCTTCTGTTCTGAATGGCCCTGTGATGTAGCCTCTGTCTGCCTTGACTGCAGCAGGAGCCTTGGGAGACCCATCTTCTGTGTTTAAAATGTGTGCGCGTGCCTAGACCCTTCGGGCACAGAAAACACGCGTGTTGCCTCAGCTGGCAGAGGTCCCAAATCACTACCTCCTCCTGCTTGTTCTCCCAACTGATACTGTCTGGGCTTCATGCAGAGTCTTGAAGGAGGCACCATCTCCTGTGCTGCTTTGCTGTCTCTTACGCTTCAGCTCTCTATACCGTATTGCTGCTAGTGAACTAGATACCGCATTTCATTCATTCACAAGAAAATAATTCTACTTTGTTTACAGCAATCTTTGTGAAACTAACTAGGGATTACAGTTCACTCATTCATCTTTCCTGTAATAGCATGCTCCTCTTATTTATAGGACACTTTGCATGGAAATACCTGTAGCAGTAAAATATTAATGAGTGAGATATATGTAGTGAGTATCTAGCCCAGAGAAATAAAGGGTTTGCTTAACATCATGCAAATGAAGTTCTTACACTTCATCTAAAGCAGCAACACACCTTTGCATTTAATTAATGTTTTAATTCTAAAACAACCTTTCTATGCTGTGGCCTCTGCTTTACCAGCTTATCAACTGATGATTTCAAGAAACTCTTATGCTCTAATCTTGCTTTTATAAAGTTATCCAATACTTTGTAACGTTACAAGTTTTAAGAATTTTTCTTTTAAAGAAAATTAGGGCTGCAGCAAAAGTGCTTTATTTTTCTTACATTTATTCTTAGAATCAATGGGCAGTTTTCAATTACATCCTTGCAGCAGAGAGAGTGACGGAGAAGTTAAGACTTCTGTCAAAAGCAATATGATTTTCTTTTCTTTTCTGTAGGCCCGTCCCTTGACTCGCTATTTGCCTATTAGAAAGGAAGACTTTGACCTACGAAGTCACATTGAAACAGCCGGTCACAACATAGAGACCTGTTACCATGTCTCCCTCACAGAGAAGACCTGCCGAGGCTTTCTGATTAAAATGGGAGGAAAAATTAAAACATGGAAAAAAAGATGGTTTGTTTTTGACAGAAACAAGAGAACTTTTTCTTATTATGCAGGTAGGTTGCAGGATAACTATTAGGCTACACCTGTCCCTCTATTTTCCTATCAACCTCAGCTGAGTTATGAATACATAGGGAGTCCTGAGTAAAACTTCCATTTCCATCTCGTTGGGTGTTTTACACACACGTACACACAGAGAGCTTGTGCAATCCCTTCCCTGCAGTGTTCAATCCTAATGCCATGTAAGACAGAAATGAGCATAACAGACAAAGGAGAGATGTGGATAGGCAAGAGGAGAAATGGAAGATCGTCAGGTTCCTAGTACACAGAATAATGGCTCCACATAATTTATGTTAAAATATTATATACTTCCCCCAATGACAGAATGATTTCTTGTACCCTTCATACAAGAATATAATTTATGATACTTACCATGAGAATTAAATTGAATGTTTCTGCAGTCGCATTGCTTGATGTGCTGAAAAGTCTTTCAGGAAATTAAATATACAGGAGTAGACTTTTTGAGTCCGCCATATTTTGAGAGGCTAAGGAATTTCAAATGAACAACATGCAACACTCTAAAGAGGTTTTTGCAGACTAAGTTGTGTTATATGGTATCACGAGCCAGTATAAGCATTATGTTAATTTGTTATCTTGGAATTTAAGAAAGTGTATGTCTCAGATTGCTGTGCAAATCTACACAGGGTTTGACTTTGAAGTTTCAAAGGAAGCCAGAAAAATGACTTTGTGTTCTGAATATTTATTGTTAGGAGAAGCCAGACAGGGCCATATGTAGGATGGTCACTGCTAAGAAGCAGGAAAAAGCATAGAGTACAAAACCCAGCCAAACAGTTCCATTTCCTTTTTATGAAGTTACTGCTTTCTAGCAACTCATAAGGAACCCAAAATTGATGGTAGAGTTATGCATTGCTCAGTCCATCTTTTTTAAAATATATTAGAATTCATTACATTCATTCAGTACATACTCACTGAATATTTCTTACTAGTTTGCAGTAATATTATGAAGAATGTGACAAACATTTTTTAATTTTTGTTCTTAACATCTGGTTTATTTGTTAGCAAGGCTTCTAACATACAGTAGTGTTCCCATCTGGTACTGATTTTTGTTATTTATTTTTTTTAGTAGTTATGTTAATAGTTAACAGTTTCGGTTTTGAGTGCAATATAGTTGCTATAATGCAATTTCAATTACCAAAGAAAACTTTTCATAATGTCTCAAGGACTCTAGCCAACAAACATAGTTTCATGAGAATTCTGTACTAGCTGCACAAAAATGCAGATGCTTGTACGAGTGAGGCTCCGTCTGGAAATTTAAATATATAGTAGACTTCCAAAATAAATATTGATGTTGTAAATTCAGACTAATTGACTCTAAGTGAATATATTGTTTTAGTTCTGCAAGTGTACTGAACAAAGAACTTACCCTGAAGTCTGACAATTTAGTGCAGCGACTAAAGCATCTGCGCTTTTCTGACCTGAAGCACGCAGGGAACTCGACAAAGACTGTTGCAATGGGATCTTGTGGGTACCTGTAATGCTCTTGTAACCAAAACCCCAGCTGCGGCTTGAGAGTGGATCACTGTATGCTACTGCAAAGACAGTATACTTTGTTGTACAGTATTGTATTTAGCTTAGTATAGCATATGCTATAATGTAGTAATCTTATACCTCAGTACTTCTACTGGTTCCCTGGAGGCTGGCAGGGAGATTCCCAACACTGTATCATTTGGTCTCTGGGATTTCTTCTTACCCTCACGTGAAGCTTTAGAAACTGCCTGCAGCTACCAATAGGATGTAAGCTGAGTTCATGAGTGTTCAAAATGACAGCAGAATGTCTCATGGGACTGATAAAAATGTTCTGCATGACTGTTCAGTGTTCAGGTGATACTAACTTGTGGTCAGAAGGCATTATTTTTCCCAAATATAAGAGGACTGGGGGTAGGAGTACATTTACCCGTTAGTGTCACATGCAGTTGTGATGCTTCTTAACACTCTCTGGGATTATTTTACAATTTCTCTTCTGTTGCAGGAAAACAGATGCCTATCTGCCCTGTTCCTTTTTCTTGCGAAATATTATAGTTGTGATGGTTAAGATGTTAAGTTCACAGTCTGTATCCTCCTTGCCCTAGTGATTGACTAGCTCATGCTGGGACAGAAGGCAGTATCAGAAGATATCTAAAATAGTTTAGAATTGACCCCCTGCAAACGTCTGCTTCTTTCCATTGCTTTTAAAGGGAGATTAAGTCAGCTGTGTCTCTGTCGTAGATATCAAAACTGCAGTAGGAAGACTCTCACCCTGTATTTCAGCTTTGCTGCAGTGGGACATTGGTACCAGAAACACAGTACCGCTGGATAACAACCTACTCCTTGTTAGCAGCCTCCTTGGAGTAACTATCCATTCGAGCATTCTTACCTCCTGCACTCTAAAGCAAAAGGAGGGGAGGAGGTTTCTTTTGCAACAGGGGCAAACTGCATCTAATTAATTTGGCTTTTACCTGGGTGTAGGAGAGTGCAAACAGAAAATTATGATGCTGCAGCTGGTGCCCAGGACCTTTTAATCTCCTGTAAACTTTTCCATGTGTCAGAGCTCATAGAAACTTGCCTACAACCTGCTAACCTCACGTTTAAATAATAAATATTAGCTTGAAACAGCAGGAGATTATTATAAACAGGAAGAAGCATTTTTTTAATTAGTACAAGCACAAATGAGGTTCTAACATAAAGCTTTTGCTATCAAATTGTATTTCAGATTTGCTTATCATAGGTTTTCCTGTGAAGGCAAACTGTAGGTCTTAGCCTGCGAGCTACATGAAGTCTGGCTGGCTTTCATGGAATTGGAAGATTGGAAGTATCTCAGGAGACATCCGTCCTTCTGTTGGCTAACACCAGCCATGATGTTTAGACACTTCAGTGAAGGGAGTGACTTGGAAATAGATGAGGAAATTGCAAAAACTTTATTTCCTTGGAAACCAGGTGGAAAAGAAAAGAATAAAGTAGGAAATGCATCTCTCATTGAGACTGACTGACTAGTAAGAAAAGTTGAAGATTTCTCTGGGATTTCACAAGCAGAAGTGTTAATCCAGTTACTTATCAGCTGAACATATATGGAAATGCAAATTAAGCTTTTGTTTCTTGAAGTAGTGTTCATTTCAGTTCTCAAAAGTCATTCTCTCTTTTCCATTTTAGACAAACACGAAACTAAATTAAAAGGTGTAATATATTTTCAAGCTATTGAAGAAGTCTATTATGATCATCTAAAGAATGCATATAAGGTAAATTTTATTATTGGTGTTTTAACTCAGTATCATTTGGCAGTACCCAAACTATGGTAGGTGCTGTAAAGTCAAAGGGAGAGCTGACTATTCAAACTAACAAAAACCCCTGGAATGGAGGAAAAGGAAGATGAAGCCAGATCAGTGATTAGCACTGGGGTTTTTTTAATACTGATGAAAGCAGAGATACGAGAGTGTCTACCTGCCAAGTGATGGTCTCACACGGGATTTGCTGTGAGTAATTCCTCAGTCCAGTGGCGAGACCACTGAAATTAGTGGCTTTGGCAAATCAAGGGATAACTATGCATCTATCACAGGGAGGGAATTAACTGGTGCCTGCAGCTCATGGCACCCCCTTGCCTCTCATCTGTAATTTAAATGAGCTGTAAATAAGCTGAATATATCCTTGGCAGGTGGATTTGTGAAAGCCAAGGTGGTATTGACCACTGGAGAGAGTGGGGGAGTTAGTTGTTTGGGCACGAAATAACAATTTGGAGCCAAGTACTACTGTGTAATAGTCTAGTGGAAATATGTCATTAAAAAGTGCTTATGCTGGATGCAAACCACTTTAAACACATCTCTGCTTCCAGTGCTGCAATGTAGGATGCAGCACTACAGCACTTTGCATTTTATCTTTCCCCTTAACCCTATCATAAATCTCTTAGCATAAGTAATTTTACTTCCGGTGCCAATAAATGTCTTTGATTTCACTCTTTTGCTATCTTTCTTTCTGTTTTATTTTAGAGTCCCAACCCGTTGCTCACTTTCAGTGTTAAGACACATGACCGGATATACTATATGGTTGCTCCGTCGCCAGAAGCCATGAGGATATGGATGGACGTTATTGTTACAGGCGCGGAAGGCTACACCCACTTCATGTTATAATAAAAGGGGGCAATAGGGCATACTGCAATAATGTCACGTATGAAGTTAGCCATATGTAGTGAAATCTCAAAAGCCAGTGAATACTCTGAAATATCCTCCTTATGATGTGCACCCGAAACCTCAGAATTGAGACGGTTTTACAAATGCATTGAAAAGGGGGGCTTGTTACTTGTTTTAGTTGATCTGTATAGGAATGAAAAGCTAAAGCTGTTGAGAGAATCGTAGTGCTCCAGAATGGATAATTGGGCAATTTAAATTACAGCATCTTGATTCAATGATAATTTTCTACAAATTCTCTTATACAGAGAATGTTTTCATGAACTCATACTAAACAGTTTACAAATGCGTGTGTTCTCATCAGTATGCAAAAATTCTAGTAATGGAACAAAAAGGTGTAATAAGCATATATTTTAATATGCATTTGACATTTATAGATGATTAGGTGACTTTTTAAAACTTTTAGTCAAGTATTTTATAAAAATATAAACAAGAAAGCAACCCTAAGGTACACACAGTTCCTGCCTTAGTAGTTAAACATTACAACAGAGCCAAAGAGTTATACAATTCCCTTAAAATAATGTTTGCAAATTATTAGTTGTACCTAACTTTCTGTAAGGGGACAGTGCCAAAACTCTTAATGACTTTTAATGTAATTAGATTGTTACAGTATTCAGTGTGTTCAAATACTCAGTGACACCGGCTGTACATTTTAAAGTCTGCATCTATGGAGCTCGACAAAAAAAGAGGATAGCTTTATAAAGATGCAATTTTCCACAAGGATATGAAATGGAAACACATGTATTAACTTCTTCATAAGGATTTTTTTTTTTTAATCTTCCCTGTGGAATAGAATGAGCTGATTCTAGACCCTACAGCAATTTTCTTTTATGTAGTAAGGTCCCAGAGTGGTTCTAACCTTACTATGTGCCAAGTGAACACTCTGCAGAAACCTCTCAAACATTGGTCCTTTTGAAGTCAGCATCAAAATCTCTATTTATCTAAATTCTTTGGAGCCAAGTTTTCAGCCCCGGAGAGTTTTTTTAAAATGCGTATCTTCACAGAATAATACTGTCAAATAGAATAAAAAGAGAGAGGCAAGTTCTAAGAGTTTACACTAAGCAGTGTATGAATAAAAAAAACCTTTGAAAACTTTAAGTATCAGATTCCTAAAACAACAAAAATACTGAGGGTGCAGCAGTTTCCCATTTTAAAATCACTTCCAAGTCCTTGACTAATATTGCAAAAACATAAATTATTTAATTGAACTGAACTTCAAGAAAGTTTCTTATAATATGACTTGAAAGAGGTTCTATTTCAGTAATCAAAACTTATGTGCTATGTGGTTTATGTAATAGAAGAAAGAACATTAGCCTTTTTTGTTCTTGATGAAAAGTTAATGGCTTTTGATGGAACAAACAAAAAACTGAAAGCATAATAGAAGTATGCTGGCAGATTATTTTTATTATACTTTTAAACCTTGTGTCTGTAATGAACGGGTTGAATTTTTTGTGGTATACACAGGTGATATGGTTGCTCAAGCATGATGAACATCAGTTTCTACTCCAATCATGAAAGAAGGGACAGTTATCACAAGATAATTGTTATCATCTGTGCAGATCACAGCTTGTAATCTAATGATTTAAAACACTATCAGAAATAAATTGCTTTGGTTTATATAATTATTATTTTTTTCCCTGATGTATCTTGATTTTACTCCTAAGTATGGTTATAAAGGTTTTCTAATAATGATTTTTGTATCCTGCATGATGCAATGAAGGCGTTTCAATAAACATTTTTAAAAATACACTTGTTTTAAATATTCACTTGCTGCTTCATCTTGAAACATTTCTGCTTGTCTGTTAAATAATGTCATATACGCTTGTGCACGCAATTTGTATTTCTTAGCAATGCTTAATCTAACCATTCCATATGAGTAAACCATGTTTACCCATAAAAGAGCTATGGAAAATAATCTTTCAGATGGCAGTGAAATTAGGACCGTAGTCTGTTTACTGTGTGTACATAATAGAATACTTTTCTCATTTTTTTTTTATCACCAGCCTTGGATATACACAATTTTTTGTTTAACTGCAAAACAGAAATTGCTGAAGTTTTAAAGGTTTCCCAGTATTTGACTTAGACATGACTGTAATTACAGGAAGCTTTAGCTCATTGTAGAAGCCCATGCAGTTTTACGACTTTTTCACTAAGTTTGCTATTGCCATCACAAAGCGTGGTGGGTTCTGTAGTAGTGGGCATCAAGACAACGTAAGCAAAGCGTGGCGGCAGGCGCCATCTTTTCCGATCAGTCTGCCAGGCCTCCGCACTTACCCCCCTTACCCTGAAGGACCTCGGGCAATTGCACACCACGTAGGAGGTGTCTCAAAAACCTCAGCTGCTGCGTCACTTACCTACAGCTGCTGACAGGGGCTGGGTTGGCACGTGCCTGTGGAAACACCTTTTCGGGCATTGACCTCTCTCAGCGTTGTTTTCTTCCTTTCTGCAAAAGGTGCAGTGCATGAAGAGCCTGGAGAAGGCTCCAGGGAGACCTTATAGCACCTTCCAGTACCAAAGGGGGCCTACAGGAAAGATGGTCAGGGGGTGTAGTGACAGGACAAGGGGTAATGGGTTTAAGCTGAAGGAGGGTCGATTTAGATTATACATTAGGAAGAAATTCTTTACTGTGAGGGTGGTGAGGCACTGGCACAGGTTGCCCAGAGAGGTTGTGGATGCCCCATCCCTGGAAGTGTTCAAGTTTGGATGGGGCTTGGGGCAACGTGGTCTAGTGGAGGGTGTCCCTGCCTGCAGCAGGGGGTTGGAACTAGGTGATCTTTGAGGTGATCTCCTGGCAAGAAACCCTCCTTTTGGCTACCACATCTGTGCAAAGGCGGCCAAGTAGAGGAGGCTCCCCTCTCCAGAATACACACGCACCTAGGGAAATACTCATTAAGTATTCTTATAGACAAAACTTTGTTTTCTCCCTCACAAAGAAGCATGCGGCATTAAACACATCAAACCCAGCCTG